AGCTAGCCATCTTATCACTATGTGTCCTTATCTTAACTATTCCTTCCTTCCATTTTTGGAGGGAGGTTACTCTTTAAAAGTAACCTTTTTTTTTGGGATGTTCTTCTCCCCCCTTTTTTCTTCATTCTTCAAAATTCCACGTATTTTGGGTACGGATGGGTATGGCAGAGATGGTAGTGCACGTATCTCGCTCAAGCTTAACATTCCTGGAGATTTCGCAGATTTCGAATTCGTTTCTTCCCCACCACGTCTTGAATTGCGGAACTCTGCAGTGATCTTCGCTTGACAACACGCTGAGCGATCGAGTGGCCTCGGCTGTTTTGTCTGCTGCCGATCTTTGCTAGGTGTAATGCGATCGGTAGCAGACAGAGTGGAAGAAACAGCCGCCCTCGTCCGTACTCTTAAGATGGCTAGCTGCTGTAGCCTTTCCATCTCCACGAGACGAGGGACTAGGTTGTCAAGCGAAGCATTAAGTGGTGGGTTTCCAGGAACTTTGCTTGAGCCAGAGGGTCTTGCTGCACTACCTTTCCTGAAGTCTCTGAAAAGAAAATGAAAGAAGCTAAAATTGTAAATTGCGATCAGGACATTGTACCTCTTAGGAAAAGGCATCAGCGACTCTGTATAAAAAACTACATATGAAGCCATTTCCACAGATATTTTCCTCGGCAAGCAGACGCATCTCAATGTCTCCAATACTTTTCCTCTTCCACAATTAGTTTTTCAAATGTTTTTTTAAACACCGACTTATATGTTGGTGCTTTGCGCTTCTGCACGTGCCAGTGCACCGAGCAAGATACTTTCCAAAGGGTGTTTTAAAATGAGCTCAATGCTTTTAACCAAGCAAAGCAGGAAATACACTTTTTTCATGCCTAGACAAAGAGCAAAGAATGAAGCTGAGAAGCAAGAACCGCAACAGTGCAGGGAGAGTACAGTGTTACCCTAAGTTGGTTCTGGTCACTTCATTTTTAGTAATGAAGACGTTGAGAGGTGCCAGTGGCTTGCTTGTGCTCTTCTTCTGTTAAATTTCTTTTTTTAAAAAAACACCCAATATATTTTTTTACCTGCTGACAGGATTACTGCCTTGATTACGTGGATAGTTTGAAGAATGGAACTGCCCTTGGTTGCCGCTGTTTGAATTGAGCTGAAAGATGCAAAACAGTTTTAACCAAAATTCTATTGATATGTAGCTTGGAAAAATCACTGAAATTAAGCATAACTAAATTGTAAAATAAAAAGAGTTTTGCAAACTTAGACTACCTGTGCTGGCCTAGAAGGTTTTGGCATGTTGACATCTGCCAACTGTTCCACTGCAGATGTACAGCGGCCCTGTAAGAGAGCTGAGCCCCTGTAATATTTCTGAAGCAAGACACGCACTATAAAATTCAGCCACTATTTGGAGCTCCGTGTTTGACCTCAAAGCTACACGCAGATCCACATGTTGGCCTAAGAAATTCCACAGATGTGCAACTCATACTTAACAATTGTACAGTTCCTTGAAAGAAAAATTGGGGCTTCCCCACATGCTTTACCTTTAAAAAGTAGAGGTCCTCTGAGAGGAAACTGTGTTTTTCCTGTCTCATCTCCCTTAGGATAATATGTCAAATTCAAGATAGTTTTCCTTCCAGAAAGTACATGCTATCCTTTTTCAAATGATGTTATGTGATTTTGGAATTCAGTAAAATAACCTTTCTGGCAAGACTTGAGGCAGATTATATCCAAAAGGAGACACACGTAAGAATCAAAGAGAAAGGATGACTGTCCAGGGATCTCATCCCAGTTTGTCTGAAATAATGTTTCAGAAGGTGGTGAAGGTCTTCTGTTTTTGGTTGGCCTTTGACAAAGAAACCTGTTGCGTTTATCTAACCATTCTTTTAACATTTGAACTACTGAATGGCTTTTTCTGCCCTGTTTCCTTCTGTAATTCTATGTTTTTATTTGTGTTGTAAAATGCTAGAACTTCATAAAGAAGAGGTGGGCCAACTTTGGCTGAGGCTGCCTTAATCTGTGTTGCAGGGGTAAGGGTCACTCTTGGCATCACAGTAAAGTGTATGGTTGGGGCCATGACACAAACATAGGTGGCACAAGGATGTTCTGTGTGTTTTCCCAGTTTTGGGTTTAAGTTTGGGGAAATTACTTAAAAAAAAACAACTATGTTAAATCTGTTTTAGGCTTATACTCGTTGTATTGTCTGTTCCTTGACTCAGAATGGTGTGAAACTGCCAGTAATTTTCAGCAGTGGTAGTCAGATAAAGTTGTGGGGGCTACAAAATGGGCTCAGGCCTAGCGTTAAAGCTTCCAGTTCCCCACCCTTCCTATGGAGGTTGGGAGGGTATAAATCTTTAAGACAAATATGAATAAATAAAAGATTCCTTATTTATTTATTTGATCAATTTGTATGGCTGCCCATCTCAACAAGTGACTCTGGGAGGTAAACAATATTAAAATATGTTAAAAACAATTCCAACTACAAATATAAAAATTAAAATACACAGAAGCCAAAGAAGGTATCACAATCAACAGTTGCTAACAAATCAAGAGACAGGTCCCTTCACACACTCAGGGACCCAGGCCCAGGCCCAGAACCAGGTCTTTAGGACCTTACCAATAGCAGGGTAAGGGCCATCCAAATCTCTGGAGGAAGAACGTTTCATAGGGCAGGCGCTACGGCAGAAAAGAAACGCCTTCAGGGCCCTGTCAACCGGCATTCCTTAGATGATGGGACCCAGAGCATGTCCGTCCTGCCAGTCCAAAATCAGATGGGTAGAAGCAATCGGGAAGAGATGATTCCTCACAGAACCAGGTCCCAAGCCATGAAGGGCTTTCAAGATGAAAACCAGCACCTTGAAGTGCACCTGGAAGCACCCTGGCAACCAACACAGCTCACAAAACAATGATGTTACATGCACCAAGTAACAAGTGCCATTTACTATCCACGCAGCTGCATTCTGCACCAGCTGAAGCTTCCAAATGCACTTCAAGGGCAGCCCCATGTAGAGCACATTGCAGTAGTCCAGATGAAAGGTCACAATGGGATGAGTGACAGTGAGCAGGGCTTCCCAGTCCAGGAACGGACCCAACTGCTGCAAAACCCAAAGGTATGCAAAGGCCCTCCTACCCACAACCAGGAGGAGAGAGCCATGAGTTTAGAAGGACCCCCAGATCATGCACCAGATCGGTCTGAGGTGGTACCACCCCATCCAGAACCAAAGATGAAAGATCCCTAGCACCAGAAGCTTCAAACACCCCATCCAGGCCCCCACAGCCTCCAGGCACTCAGAGGGCATCACTCAGGAAGCTGGGTAGAAAAGTGGGTATCATCAGCATATTGATGATACCTCACTCCAAACCATCAGATGACCTCACCCAGTGGCCTCATGGAGTTGTTAAATGGGGGGAGAAGACCGAGTCCTATAGCACCCTACAAACTAAGGGCCGTGGTCTGGACCTCTTCCCTCCTATCAATAACAATTGGAACTGGGTAGGAAGGAGGAGAACCAGCACAACACAGAGCCGGTCAGAAGAATACCATGATCAATGTTACTGAAAGTTATTGAGAGGTCAAGAAGGGCAAGGATGGATGTACTACCCCCATCCCACTCCCGCTGGAGGTATCCAAGACTGTGGTCAATTATGTCTCAATCCCATACCCTGGCCTGAATTCCAACTGAAAGGGGTCCAAATAATCCGTTTCATGTAGAGTCCTTTGATGTTGCAGTGCAACCATCTGCTCCACAACCTTCCCTAAAAAGGTAAGGTTGGAAACTGGATGAAAACTGTCCAGACTAGTTGGGTTGAGCTATGGCCCCTTGAGAAGGGGGGACACCACTACCTCATTAAGAGCTGGCAGGACCACCCTCCCCCTTCAGGAGGAATTAATCACCACCTGAACCCAATTGCACACCCCCTCCTGGACAGCCTTGATGAACCAGGAGGGGCATGGATCTAATATGGAGGCAGCCGATCTAAACATCTGCAAGAACCTTCTCCACTTCCTCAGGATTGACTATTGCTAAATCATTTAATGTTTAAACTATTTATGCTAAAGAAGTTATTTTATTTACACATATTATTTTTAGCCTCCTGAGGTCTTTATGAACCCTATTAAACTTTGAACCAAGTTTAGCAAGTTCTTGCTAAAATCAAGCCAGAATAAAATCTGATAGAATACAGAAGTTGATGGCAACTAGTGATTCATTTAACTAAGACTCAAAACTAATTACTAATATATGTGGTGTTCACAGGCTACCAAATTTTGAAAATCCTCTTCTAGAACATCTATGGAGAAGATTCCATTAATGGGTTATCCATGTAATTCACTGGGGACAGTGAGCTTAGGTACATATCGCTGACCCCATTTGCTAAAACACTCTTGATATCTGCAGTTTTCAGCTTTATGTACTTCAGGCACACATATTTTATTAGCATCCCATGAGTACAGATTTCATTTAACCAGTTTGGCCTAAGAGAAATACTCAGTGAAAAGTTCTAAGTGTAATCATTGTGTGGCATTCAGAGAACAGTCTAATGATGGTTAAGCTGTGCTGTATTTCAATAAAAGGAAGCAAAAATGAAGAAAAAGAAAATACTTTTGTGGGTTTAGCAAAACAATTGCTACAATTGTCCAAACTACAATCATTACCTATTTACCACTAAAAGTAAAGGGGACCACATAGTCCTGTATAGTCTTGTAGATGCTGGCCCTGAATCAACACACTAGTCATCCTAACTGCTGTCCGAACAGAAGTTTCTTACTAGAATATTGAGGTGGAATATAAGATCTAGAACAGCTTAGCAGAACCTTATTACCAAATACTAAAGTAATCCTATCCATAAAGCAGAAGGCTCCAACCAGAGAATGTTTTGATTGTTCTCAAGTATGGATTCTAACCAGCTGGCCAGAAATTAGGATAAAAAGAAGTGTGAGTCCTTCCATCCTCTTCCAAAGCTGCCCTTTGCTCTAAATTCCAAACAGGAGTGGGAGGCATAAAAGGCTTAGATTACATTGAACTCGGACTTCCTCCTGCCTACCTCCACCCTCACCCCGCCTCTTGGGAGTTTTCCAGCCTTTCCAAGAGTTGGCCTCAAAGGCTGGCACACAGGCCAAAGGGGCCATATAATATGGGAGTCCTTCAAAGGGGGAACTGACACACTCCATGGCTCCAGAGACCCAAGAAGAGGACGTTGGCTTCCAAATAAACCTGCATGGGACTATACTGTATGGTGGAGAAGTAAAAGTCTAATCCATTTTGTGGTTGGACTGGAAAAACAAGATAGAGAGATTTTAAAGTTACACTGAAGTGAAGTCAGCTCACACCTGAATAATGTATGCAATACTTCTTTTGAAAGAAGAACAATGACCATTTAGCACAGGCTGCTATAAAAATTATGAAAGGAGTTATATTTTCTCTTACCTTGGACAGTGTACGTGAAGCCATACCTGCAAAAGACCACAAGGTTAGCTTTACTTATGTAAATTGTTTTATAATTTCTAAACATAAAGAATATCTGCGCTTGATCTCACCTCCTGTGGCAAGCTCACCTTCTGGTGGATGAAGTTTCTGTTCAGAAGCATGGTCAGTGTCCTGCCTGTAGACATATGGCGCCTGTAATTATATTCATGTTTAGTTTCACTAAGTGCAAAGAAATAAAAGTGTACATTTTTACTTGAATCCTTTTAGTAATGCTTTTATTATTGTATGCCATCCAGAGCTGTCATGGAGTTCAGGATGCCTATCATAGACTGTAGGAGTTGGAAGGATCTTTAGAGGCCATCTAGTCCACTTTCCTATTGAGTGCAAGAATTCACCCACTCATTCCAGACTGACATGCGGCCATCCACACTGTTTGGAACCTCCTGGGAAGGGAAGTTCACTACTATTTTTCCACTGAATCTTCATGCTGGTCTTTGACTGTAATAAAGGAAGATTTGATTGATCTTCATCTGCATTACTACTGTGCCGTCCCCTTTTCCCCAGCCTGATCCCTACCTATTTTCATCCCACCTCAGTCAAGCTACTTGATGCACCTGACGCAGTGAGCTGTTGCTCATGAAAACTTACGCCTTGTCATAAAAAAGTCAGTCTCAAAAGGTGATATTTCTGATTTTTAACTGTTCTGGGCAAACTGTTCCACTATTGAACCGGTTTTTTTTTAAATCAACACAATTCTATTTAAAAAAATATTTAAAAAAAATTTTTTAAATAAAATTATACATTTTTAGTTGTATATTTTTAGTAATGGTTTTATTATTGTATGCCACCCAGGTTGTCATGGAGTTCAGTACTCCCTTACCTTGGGAAGTTTCTGGAATTTCCGACCGTTTGTTTCTCAGGAGGAGGAGGAGGGGGCGCAGACTCCCCACCCATTGAGTGCATGCCGGAGCAAGAGGCGGCAGGGCGACGGGTCGGTGAACTTCTCGCGCCTCAGCCTCAGTCTTCAGGGCGCTTTGCGGGCCGCCCGTCGCCATGGGAACAGCGCAGGTGCCGCCGCAGCTCTCGAGGACCCTCGAGGTGCTCAAGGGTGAGGCGGCCGGCGGTTTCCTTCCCCTGGCGCTGCTTTTCCCCGCGCCCCTCGGGTCCCTTCTAGCCCCTTTCCTATTTCTGTTCCTGATGGGGGCACAACCCCCCACCCATCGAGTGCATGCCGGGGCAGGAGGCGGCGGGGTGACGCTTCGGTTACCGCCTCGCGCCTCAGCCTCGGCCTTAAGGGCGCTTTACGGGCCGCCCGTCGCCATGGGAACAGTTCAGGCGCCGCCGGAGCTCTCGAGGACTCTTGAGCTGCTGAGGGGTGAGGCGGGCGGCGGTTTCCTTCCCCTGGCGCCGCTTTTCCCCGCGCCCCTCGGGTCCCTTCTGGCCCCTTTCCTATTTCTGTTCCTGATGGGCCGCTGTTGGCGTCTCTCGGGAAGAATGAGCAACGGGGAGGGAAAGATTCTCGGCCGAGGCAGCCCCGCTCTGGCTCTGTGAAATACTCCCCTCGCTCGGCTGGCTAGGTGATACTGAAGAAAAGCGTAAATGGCCTCCTGAAAGGATCATACGGGGTACCGACGCGAGCAAAGCCTGTGGGGACTGTTTGGTGAGAGGTATGATTTATTAATATTTATTTATGAGTAGCATTAGTATTGTTATTTAGCAATTTTAAAAGGTAGCAATTGCAGGGTCCTATAGGTGCCTGTAGCTTTGGGGAGCATGTCTGCTTTCCCAGGGAAGACTGTAGCCCTCAAAATCTGTGCCATAACCTTTGGGGGGAGAGGGCATGGTTTCCTTGCTTTTAGCTGCAACAGAGTAAGCTCACGCTACTCTTTCGGAAGCTATGCAAGACTGACACCCTGTACAGATATATCCTTTTTTCTCATTCCCTCTCCTCCCAACCCCCTTTGTTTTTTAAATCAAAAGAAAGACTTTGCAGACTGTTTTATGAACCTTCAGTTGGCCTCCTAAGGGATTCCCCACAGCAAATACTTGAATAGATTGCTTGCTGTTTATTTTTATTTACAAGTGAAATACTAATCTGAGGATGTGTCCCAAAAAAGTTTGGACTGGGTGCCTGTACTCTTTTCTCTACCCCATTCCAGCTGAGGAGAAGGGAGAGGCTGACACCAGGAGAGTGCTTACACTTGTTAAGAAAAAAAGTGCAAAATTGCAGCTTGCTGCTTGTCATGTCTACATAGGCCAAATTACACATGATGTAATCACAGCTTGATTTGAATTTTATCCTTCACTGCCGCTAACATTTCAGTTTCAGTTCTGCTTGGGTAAGAAAAGCACAGCATGATGCAACAAACTTCAGACATCAGATATATAAGCTGTTTGTAGATATACAAGCATATATTGTACTTGCATTCCTAGCCTGTTTAGGGGATTAGTGGCAATTCTGAGGTACCCTGGAGCCACAAATTTTTATTTTTAAGATTAACAGCACACTTACATAAAGCTTACATAATAGTGTTACTATTCAGCAAATTTAAAATTTATACAATAAAACATGGGTGAACCACTTTAGTATGAAATTTACTCAGTTTTCTCTGAGAATAATAGCTTGAACTTAAAGCAGGAGCCAAGGATAGACCATATTCTATCTTCTTCTGATCTTTTTCATCTGTGGTCCGGTTGATCTTATTGTCCACAGGTTTACCCCTTTGTGGAAAAACATTCAACAGTTGCTAGAGAAAGAGGTTTCTGCTTTGCTGCCATTGTGAGGATCTGTTGTAATATCTGTTGATAGTGAGCCCACTGAGTCTCTGCAACAGCTTTGCATTTGATAATGTTCATGTGTCATCAGCCACCAGGCAGTTGACTCAAACTACAAGATGTAGTCACAATATTCTTTATCCCACATTTTTTCCAGCGGAAAGCAAGTTGGACTAGAGAAAGAGAACAAAATAGCTCTTTCTTCTATAGTCCTTTTCCAGATCAGTATAATTTGACCATACGTTTAAAAAAAAAAAAAGCTGTGGAGATCAGGAGAGAAGGCCAGGTTTCAAGACGAAAAGGTTGATCGCACAGCAATGAGTTGAGATGATTAAGCTAATTCAGAGGGTTGTCCGCTCTCTTTCTAAATAGGTGAACGCTTTTTTTTAGCTGCTTCTCCGCCTCCCCAAAAGCTTGTATGATCCAGCTTGATAGGGTGGCATACACATCCAATAAGTCAATCTGAAAACGTTTCCATCACTTCCAAAATGTGTATTGCTGATTAAACTTCTGTATAGAAGATTGGTTCTGTAGATATGATCTGATAAAAGGGTTAGGAGCTGGGCCAGTATAAAATAGATTCATCAATGTACCAGGAAGATACATTGCGTAGGCTCGTGCCTATGCTGTTCCGTAAGTATTAGAAAAATCAATCTCATCATACTGGATTATAGTCAGTAATAACTCAGCTGGATGGAAAGTAGCAGGACCCTCATTCCATTTCTGAGTGATGCGCAACAGTTTTGGACTTCCAATTGCTTTAAATCAGTAACGGTGAAAAGGCTCTGCCCACCCTCTAAAATAAACTCTTGAGATAAAGACAAATGAAAGACTTGAGGGCGGGCAGGATTTTTTGTACCTGACTGTTTTTGGAAACAAATTCCTAAACTTAGCCTTTTTAAAGTATTTATTTAGTGCTGTATTTATCCCACCTTTTCCCTGGACCTCATGGTGATGTGAAGGGAGGTCACAAACTCCCCAGTCTGAGTCCTACCATTTTCCCTCTCGGTTGCACTGACTCTCAGTGCATGTTCTCTGTTTTTTACATCAGCCATATTTCAACCTGCCTTCAGTTGATAGACTTCTCAATTATAAAGGTATCAAGTCTACCTATTGCTATTATTAATATAAAGTAGCATTTCCATTTCAAGAGCCCATATGATAATCCAAAGGCATATCTAGTAAACCTGAATTTAACAGGTAGAATGGAGGGTAACCTTGTCTATTGTTTTCAAATATCTGCTCAATAAGAAAGTATGACATTTGTATTGATATCATTGTGCAAATGACATGAATTTCATAATTTGTATCAGTTTACACCACTTGTATCATGCTGTTGTTGTAAATTACGTTAATTCGGCATAAATGACATAAATATACCATAATTTAATGTAAATTTAGGTGTCACATCTGAACTACGTTGGATGCAATAAACCTGCTTACTTTGGGAGGAATGTCTGGATAGAAATTTTGTCTGTGGCATCGAAAATATGTTAAACTAGATCAAGGTTTTACTGTATGTACAATGTAATATTGGTTTCAGTGTACCTTTTATTCGTATGACCTATTTTATTACAAATTCTGGGCTTTTTTATAAATAGATTGTAAAATTAGGCTTAAAAGGGTATTTGCTTTTGTACATTGCATGTACAAAATACAATATAACAGTGAATTCAGAAAGACTGACATTTTATTAACCCCAGTTGTCATGCAACCTTGAATGTAAATTTTTTTTTATATGTCATAATAAGATCCTATTCTTTATAAAGGAAAAAGCTTATACTTAAGCTTGGAGCAAATTCTATATGAAAACAGACTTGCAGCAAATAATAAAAGCAGATTTAAAATATCATATGACATTTGAGAATTGCTAGTAAACTTCAGATTTTCTACATAGTTTTTATTAGTGATAAGCACTAATTTAATCTAAGACACAAAAGTTACACGTACATGTTCATAATCAATCCATTTTCTTCTACTTAAAGCCATGTTCCATAGTTTTCTCTTTGTCCTTTTGGATTCTAATCCATTTAAGGAATATGATTTTTCCATGAAAGAAAATAAAACTGAGATATCAAAATAAAACCAGTGTTGTTCCATGTTTTGAAATTGTTTTCTTTACCTATACTAATTTCTCTCCAGAGCTAAGAAGAATTAAGAGCTAATAGAAATTAATTTAAAATGAAATTTTGCTAACTTCATTTTAAACTGAAGCTAAACTTTGGCACATTTTTCCTAATCACAAGCTCTCCCCGCCCCCACCCCATTTGAAAGGCAAACTGTAAAAGAAAGAATTGTATTATCAGCAAATACATGAAAAGGAGTCGGGCACATT